GATGCACGTTCCCGGTGGCTGGTCTCCGTGAGAACGATTCGGAATTTCATGGGAATAGATGAACTTGTTTTGACAAAACTAGATGACTGTAATGACTTACTTTCTGCACTGCTTAGTTTTGTTACACGTCCGACACCGCATATTGAAATTTCAACGTCTGGGGCATTTGAAATCTCTATCCCTTCTTTCCAAAGAAGGACGCATCAATTTTTAAAATACTTCTACTGATCTAGCAGGCCTTGGGTTAATATTTGCCAACACACCTGTCTGACCTCTTTTTCTGATACTAGGAGTGGTATTGAAACTTCTTATTAACTTTACTTGGACAATACTTCAGGTGACCTTCGGAGGCTTGAGGCAAAGGCCAGCTTCCTCGGATGGACAGGGACCTTCTCTCATATCTTCAGGCAATTTTATAAATGAATGCGCTTGGTGACTGCTCAGCTGTCTTTAAAAAAATATTAGATGATAAGACTATGAGGGGAATCTTAAATCCCAGTTCTAAACTGTAGAAATAACCTTTGTCTGTCTTTCTCAGTGACCAATAATGAGGCCGAGTGTCACCGTGGAAGCCCAGGTGAGCTAGTTTGGGGCAGCGAGTGAGTTTGAGATTCTGCTTAACCATGATGCACCAGGGACCCACGGCCACCCCTAGGATTTGTTGCTGGGAAGTGTGGCTTCTCTCCTGACCCCCTTCCTGAGACTCAAGGATCCTTCCCTGGGCTACCATGGGCTTTGTGTGTCCCTCTATTTCAGCCCACTTCACTGTGATTGCAGCACCAGACCCTGCCCACCTGTGATTGCCACCTGAGGATGGAGGCCACATCTCCATGACAAAGCCCAAGCACCTGGGAAACTGCTAGGAATGGAGAATTGGCCCAATAGAAGTGTTCTGAACCCATGGACAAATGAATAAGTGAATGAGTAAGTGAAGAAAGGAAGGCATGAAGGCAGGGAATGCAAATAGCTGCTAAACCAGGATGCATGAGTCCAGAAAGTACAGCAGTGCGAGGCAGACCCAGAGAGAGACCAGAGAGCCAGCACCGTGTTGCTCTAAGGGCTCCAACAAGTCCGACAATGACGGACATGTTGTAGATGCTGAGTACATTATGACAATGGATACTAACAAGGCACTTTCTGTCCCCAAGCCCTGTGTTAAGCCCTTTACATGAATGGTCTGACCTAGGCCTTGCATTAATCCTGCAAGGAGCTGGTATTATTTTTGGCAAAGTGCATGAAGGACCAATGACAGATGCTGACTCCCCAGGGAAGGCAGGAAAGACATAACCCAATTCCTACCAGTGTCATCAGTCTGACACTTTCACTAGAAAGGCAGCACAGTTTTACAGTGAAGCACATGGATTCTGAAGCCGAGCTACCTGGGTTCAAGTCCCAGTCCTGCCACCTGCATAAAGCTGGGAAACCTACTTTGCTTACCTAAGCTGTCTGTGTCTCACTTTGCTGTGGGGATGGTGACAGGCTGTAGTGGCTCTTGTGAGACCAGTTAAGTCACAAGATAGATGGCGTAGGACCTGACATGCAGCAAGCACTATGTGTAAGTGGTGGGCTGTTCTCTACTGCTCACACCCATGAATGGTTTCCTTGGTGTCATTGTCAGGAGATGGGTGATGTTCTTCTCTCTTCACGGGTCTCATCTCAGTCTTTATGGGCTGCAGGATGTGGGGACCCAGTGACCTTGACCACAGGGTGAAAGTCAACCATTTTTTTTTTTTTTTTTTGAGACAGAGTCTTGCTTTGTTGTCCAGGCTAGAGTGAGTGCCGTGGCATCAGCCTAGCTCACAGCAACCTCAAACTCCTGGGCTCAAGCAATCCTTCTGCTTCAGCCTCCCTAGTAGCTGGGACTACAGGGATGCGCCACCATGCCCGGCTCATTTTTTCTACATATATTAGTTGGCCAATTAATTTCTTTCTATTTCTAGTAGAGACAGGGTCTCGCTCTTGCTCAGGCTGGTTTTGAACTCCTGACCTCGAACAATCTGCCCACCTCAGCCTCCCAGAGTGCTAGGATTACAGGCGTGAGCCACCGTGCCCAGCCAAGTCAACCATTTTTTGATGACAATAAGAGCGGTGGGGAGGAGAAGGAAGGAAATTTAGTATTTATTAATCTGTGTTAAATGCAGCTAAAAGATGCAACTAAGAATCTGCACAAGATCTCCTCACAGTGTTACTGCAAGCCCAGGATAGACTCTGACGTCCGGCTTCCTGTGTGGGGTCAGCTGAGGACACATGGTGTGGAACTTCCTGACCTGCTGGAGGGAGAGCATCTTTCTTGGTTTCAACTAAACCTCTCCTGAGATGACATGCCCAGCAGTTTGGAGACCCTTCTGGATTCCTGTGGATAGAGCAACTCTTTGGGCCTCACTACGCACCCCACTGTGCCAGCTGCCCCACAGAGGACCAGCTCTGAATGCAGAACCTGGAGGTTTGGGAGGACACAGCCCCAGTTACCCTGGCTGGGGACATCTTCCTGTCCACTCACACCCCCCCTGGCAGAGACCTGTAGTCTGTTTAGTGGTTCAGGGCCACCAAAATAGCAGTGGATGGAAGTGCAGCTGATTCCAGCTCTTGGCAGGTCTAGATTTGGCTCTAGGGCACCTAGGCTGTGGATAGAAAGAATCTTTTCTCTCTACTCAGAACAGGGACTCTCTCATCTCCTTGTTTAACCCTTCTAGAGGTTCCTCATCACCAACAACTCCTCAGCTCCATAGCCTGATCAGCCAGTTGCTCCAAGATCTGGCTCCCAACTAACTCTCTCTTTCGCCCCTTCTGGTCTCTCACCTCATGTCCCAGCATCATCCAACTATTTGCAGTTCCCTCCTTTAATCCAGTGGTCCCCAACCTTTTTGGCATCAAGGACTGGTTTCACGGAAGACAATTTTTCCACAGGACAGGGGTTGGGGTGTGCGGGGTGTGAGGAGGTGGAGCTCAGGTGGCGATATGAGTGATGTGGAGCAGTTGTAAATACAGATGAAGCTTTGCTCGCTCACCTGCAGCTCACCTTCTTCTGTGCACCCTCCCCCATGTCCCCCAGTTTCCTAAGTTTCATGGAAGACAAGTTTTCCACGGACAGGGGGGTGAGGAGAATGGCAGAGCTCTGCGGCCCAGGCCCTAACAGGCTGCGGACTGGTACCAGTCCACAGCCCACAGGTTGATGACGGCAGCTCTAATCCATGCTCCTTCTTTCCCCTCTAATGGAAGCCTCCTTCCTGCACCCTGCATCTGGTTTAACTTTATTCATTCTTTCATACTCGATTCTTACATTGTCTTCCCCATGAAGCTGCCTCTGATTCCTCTGAAATATCTCTGTTTTGTTCTCTCATAATTCCATCTGGAAACTTCTATCTTGGTATTTACCACTTTGTATATTAATTTTCTCTTTATGGGTCTGCCCTTCATAGGAGTGAGTTTCTTGATGGCAGGTAGTATGACTTTAGTCTTTGCATCTTTAATGTCTAGCCAGTGCCTGGCACATTGCAGTGTGTGAATGACTTGGAAGAATCTGCTCAAATCATTCTTAATTCACAGAAGAGCAAGCCCCGCCAAAGCATGTCAGCATTTCAACCAATGCAAAATGGTTGTATATCGAGGATTATGAGCAAAATTCATAGACTTAGACTGCACTTAAGGAAAAAGAATCAATAACTTTTTTTATGGGGTGGGGGACCCTGGAGAGGTGACCTGCTAAACACGAAAGAATTCAGCATCTCAGAGGCAAAGGAATGTGGCCACTGCCTTCTCATGGGTTCCAGAGGATGATGCTTATTTAAGGAATGAAGCCATATCCTCCACCTGTAAGTCAGCTACTGTAATTGCATCCTAAAACCCAGTGTGATAGGTATTACCTTTTAAGCCAAACATGGAGGCTGTGAATATCATATAGGTAAATAATTTTGCCCAAAACATTTAATTTTTTAAAATAAAAACTAAATTTACATTCAAACCGGAAAAAATGTTACATATTATGAAGAGAGTCCCTAAGAAGGCTTTGACGCGTCTGTGTTATAGCATTGGGTTAGATTTCTGGTTTCTTCAGGAGACTCTATGGGGTGGCACACTGATCCTCTTAAGGTGTGCCAGCCCCCGAGTGGAGTCACAGAGGCAGTGAACTCAATAATTGCCCATTAGAACATGGGACAACGAGAAGTGTTAGAGTAGGAGACTAAGAGACTGGGCTGAATCCAGTTGCTGGGGCTTGAAGATTGGGTGCAGGTATTTAAACAGCCCTTAACCAAAAAGGGCTGATAATCATAGGCAAGAACCTTCTTGGACTGGTCACTTACTTCTGTCACCTTACATGAACTCTGGATAATTACAATATCATCTGCATTGTAGTTTTAAAATTTCTCCACCATTGAAATCACCATGACAGTTCCATGACAACCATATGAAGTAAGAAAATGGGAGGAAACCCAATTCTAGGAATTACTACCCAAATTCTTAGTAAAAGCCAACACCTGGGCCTTGAATATCCCTCCCCTTGATTAGTAAGACAGTAAAAGGTTTAAAACCGCTTCCTCTCTGTGCAGCTGCTGTCTAGCCTGCCTGCACTCCTCCCTGAGAGTGTACTTTCACTGTTAATAAAGCTTTTGCTTGCTTGTTTTATGGGGTGTGGCCTGAAATTCTGTCTCATGAAGAACACGAAGAACTTGGAAAAAACTCCACTCAGAGGCTGGTAACAGAAGGAAAGTAGCACCAAAATATTTTATGAGATTGGGACATTGCTAGCCTTTGAATAATTAATTCCAGGAGTCATGCAAATGTACAGAGGAAGCTCAACTCTGACAAATTCTAGGTTTGATGCTTTGTTAATTAAACTCCACCTTTCATTGAACACACACACACACACATATACACACGTTACAGAACAAACATATTGTGCTATATTACCTGAACTTCATTTTAACTACTTGGTTCAAGATGTGTATAAACCTCTGAATTTTCAAACTTACCAGGAAATATAATCATTCTATTGGTCTTACCCTGAGGTAGTTGAGGGTGAAGTTTGTTAGCCCCATTCTGGTGATGTTTTTGGACAGCTGATCCAGGACCTGAGGATCTTGTGCCTAAACAGAAAAATAAAGTCATATGTTTTAGCCCTACGAGATGGTCCCAAGAAAATCTTAGATGGTGCTACAGCTGCTCAAAAACTGTAATCTCAACATTGTCAATTTTTCTTATAGGGAAGGTTGCTGGAGGTAATTTAATTTACATTTTGAAGACACTTGCATATAATACTCAGGGATATTTTCAGATCAATTGTGCAAGACTGGAGGAAACCAAACTGCCTTAAATGTATTTTAGGCCCTTGGGAGAAACAGCATTATTTTCTCTGTGGGAAACGCTGGCACTCAGGCCTCAGGCCAAGAGTCACCAAGCCCTGCCAGGAGAGCTCTGGGTCCAGGGCCCTCATTAGAGAAGGTAGCACTTGTGGTCTGGGGAGAACCATGCTTCAGGACTGGCCTTTGTTTCCTGCTGTGATAGTGGTGGTGTTCTAACAGCTTGGGGTTCAAGGCTGTATTTGAATACTTTGCCACTGCCACTATATATATGTGTGTGTGTGTGTGTGTGTGTGTAATACATATATATACACACACATATGTATATTATATATATATATATAGAGAGAGAGAGAGAGAGAGAATTCTAACTTTATTTCCCATTAAGCTGAGACTAGAAATAGACATCATCAACAATTTTCATCCTGCAGGACGTTAAGGGTAAGAATCACATTTGCCAAAAATATCCATATTTTAAAAAAGGATGTAAAGTATCATGGGCCACCCCAAATGTTCCATTCAACCAGAAAAAAAGTTCTTTCCGGGTTGATGAGTCTTTTGGTTGACACTCTTTGTGTTTGCCTTTCCTTCCTTCTTAGGAGAGAAGCAAATTGGCACTAAACAGAGGAAGGCATAAGTAAACATTCCTTTGTCTCCATGTCTCCATTCATGAGACTATCTAGGGTATACTAATGCGACTTTAATTTATTCTCTTCTGTACTTACTTTTCTCATAGTGAGACTACAAATTGGATTTGTGTATATAAATAACAAACAAAATGTCAGAGAAAACGAAGAGTATCAGTTTCATGACAATTTCTTGAACGAGGTCTGTGGACATTGAGCCTGTATTTGCCCCCTCTCATGTGCAAGGAAAAGTTTTTATTTCTACAGAAGTACGTGAAATAGTCATGGCCAAGCTCAAGGAGCTTGTATTTCAATCAGAAGACCAGGATGATAATCAATTCACGAAGGAATATTGTCACTGCTGCTGCCACTGCAAGAGCCAATCGCTAATACCTGCAGAGGACCTAACATGTGGCTGCCAGGCATTGTTCTAGGTTCTTTATAGTCACTATTCATTCTCAAGCCAGTTCTCTGAGGCAAGTTTCTCATTGTTCCTATTTTATAGATGAGGCCCTGGAAGCACAGAGAGGTTACATCATTTGCCCAAGGTCACACCAGAACAAGGATACAACCCTCTGTGGTCACAGTCCAGGGCTCAGGCTTCCAACCTCTGCCTTCTGCTGCCTTTTAGTCTATTTTGAGAATAATAAGAGGGGATACTCCAGACTTCTTCAGGGAGAGTGGAGAACGTGAACTGGGCTTTGATAATTAGGAAGAACATGGAGCATGGATGGTCAGAAATAAAGGAGGAGAGTGGAGTGCCACAGCAGAAAGCACAAGGTCAAAGGGAAGGGCTGAGACAGGGTTAACCAGCGGGATCAGAGGGCTGGGAACATGCCTGGAGAGACAGCCTGGAATCAGACTGCTGGGAGACAGTCGGCTGATCAGCCAGGCTTAGGAGTCAGAACCAGCTGGGTCTAAATCTTGATTTTGCCACTTTGGGGCTAGAAAACATTGGGCAATTTATTGAACTTCTCTGAGCCTCAGTTTGTCAGTGACAAACACCTCTCTGAGTAACTATGAAAATTAAATATCATAATGTATATGCTCAAGGCCTGGCATACCAAACACTCAATAAATAATAGTTACTGGGTTTTTTTTTTCTTGATTGTTCAGAGTCTTAAAAATCAGGCTTATTAAGTCTGGTTTTGTTCCAACAATTTGTCATGGAAGCTGCTGCATCACACATTACAGAGCAGAGATTTATTTAAGTTAATGCCTTTGGCTTCTTCTTAAGGGATTGCACCTGACTGCAGTTCCTACTTACATTTAAAATATAGCTCTAGATTGGCTTCGAACCCACCTTTGCACTTAATCGGTGCTCAATAAATTTGATTGATTTATGGCCAAATGAAACGGAGAGAACCCCAAATATTCCACTTCAAATCCAGCACCATGGTTAGGAAGGACCAAAGCCTGCTGACTCGGATCTGAAGCTACAGCAGTCCCGAGTCTGATCAGATAGTTCTAATCAAAACTAGAAACTGTTTTTCTTACTTGTTTCAACTTGTTGTATTTCATTCCGCAGTTATAGGTAACAAGTTTGTTAGCCCAGGCAGAGCAGTACTTGATAATGACTGGATGGAATTTAAGAAAAGTACAAACTGTTTATTGAGGTAACCCCCATTTGGAGTTCAGAATAATAAAGTATCAAAAATAGCCTCATGATGTACAAAACTTGGAAACAAAAGAGTGGGAAAAGGGCTTGTGGATTAAAATGGTTGAGAACAAAACTCAATATTTAGAGTTAATTACCTAACGTGTGATGTTACTGGGGTTCTTTCACATAGAGAGGGCTGGGTTTTCCCCCTTGAGTAAAATGAAGGAGGAACAAAAAAAAAAAAAAGAAAGAAAAGAAAAGAAAGTAAAACAGAAATTAAATTACTTACATGCATGGCTAGAATGCTTCTCGGGACTAACTCTCGGTATTGTCTAATGGTAAAGTGCCATGTTTTTATTCTCATGAGATCATCAAAGGTGAACTCCAAGATCAGTCTGCCTTCTGTACATACCTAGAAGTGACAAAACAACGCACTCATTTGTTATGCACTTCTTGAAAGGCACATTTTGTAACTCACACATCAGCTACTCAGCATGGTCTCCCTTACTGGGCGGCGCTTGCTCTTGGTAAAGACGTGACACAAATGGTTTGTCTGTTTATCTATGGCATATGAGGACAAGTGTCAGCTCTAGAATCAGTAGGTTCAAAAGACTGCACAGCTGCTTACTAGCAGTAGTAAGTAATTATACTAGTTACTAATGAAGCTCTATGAGCCTCTTTTTCTTCATCTGTAATTATGGGGACAAAACCCATCTTATAGGGATGTTGGGTCAAAAACTACTGGCACACATGTACACACCCCTCCAAAATAGTAATCTCTCACTTCCTACTTTTCCTCCACTTCAATCATTCTTCCACCATAGTAGCTTGAGTTCTTGTCCTAATCGTGGTTATCTACTTTAGGAGAAAGCAGTCAATAAAATCATTCACACCTAAGTGTGCGATACTACAAGTTTACCCAACTAGAGAAATTCCAGAGGGCAATGCTAAACCCAAGGCGGTGGGTATTTGTTACTGACAAGTGGATAATAGAGCCACGTTTAAAAATTATATTTCTCGAATCTCATCCCATCAACAATGACAAATTTGGCTGGCATAAAAGGCTAGTCCTGGGGGTATGGGACGTTTTATCTTTCTAAGAAAAATATACATTATTAATGAAATATAATAGAATTTTGGAGGCTTTCTTCCTTGATAGAGTGATCAGTGGCAGGGTAGCATTTTTATCTTCTTTTGATATTCGTATCATTTTTAGCATGTAGTTCCTATTTTATTTACTGTTCTTTTCACCTTTAATGATTTTGAGATGAAAGAAAATGCTGGGTGATCACAAACCACTGAGCCTATATCAGCTATGAGACAGGAAGTGGTAGTGGCATATGGGTTGGGTTTAAATAGTGGCAGCTCCTGAATCAGCCCATCTGTGCCTCAGGGAAGCAACACAAACTAGGAGGTGGAGGCTGTGGCATCAGAGAGTACTGGATATGAATCCTGATCCTACTTTTTACTTATTCTGGAACTTTAGGAAAATCCAATTCCCTCAACCCTAGTTTTCTCATTTGTAAAATGGGGATAATAATATCCAATACATTAAATGAAGTTATGTGTGTGGATTGCCTGGAATTGTGCCTGGTGCCTAGTAGGATGACAGTAAATGATACCTTTACATGTAAAGAAATGCAACCAAAGAGAACACAGAACCCTAGGCCAGCGGGGGTCATGATGTGCCATCAGAGACCTAAGGTTTTTGCTAGAGCCATCTTGGGGGCTCTGCCGGGAGGAGCTGGGCCCCCATCTCAACTCTGAGATCCCCACAGATATTTTCTGGGTTTCACCAGAGCAGCTTTGATTGTATCTGTTTTAATATATTGGGCTTCTGATCGAGCTTTCTTGGAGAAATATTTGTTAGGCTAAAAACAAACATAAAGCTCTGGAAACTTTAAAAAGATACATTTAAAAATAAATAAATAAGTAAAAACTAACTAAATAGGAGATATGAGTATTTCTAAAACTATAGTCCATCCGTGAAGATGGTGAACAGTTTAAAATCAACCTGTTGTGAAATATGAATAATCACTTTCCCCTTTGGGAATTCGATACAAAACACCACCATGTATTGAGCTGGAATGAGGTCCTCAGCATTGACTTAGGTGCTCTCCTTGCACTCTAATTGAAGGTAATATTTTCTTCTAACAAGCCAAATATCCGGACAGGGGAATGACTAACAAGTGTTGATAGGGCATGACTCAAGAAAGATGCTGTTGATGTCTGCCATCCTTGCCTTATCAGAGATCTCAGAAGCACTGTTAGATAACTATTGATAACCTAGGTAAAGACCTCTATCTCAGATCCAATTAGCAGAATCTGTGGGTGATTCCAGGCATATGAGCACCTTGCCTCAAAACCCTTTGGTTGAGTGGTCTTCAGAGCCTTCTTTCTGGTATCTTAGCCATGAGAGTTGAGTGCACTGAAATGGGGAAAGACTTCAGTGTCCCCAAACCATCTCCCTAGAGCATTGTCAGTGTTGGAATTAATTTACCAAGGTTTTCAAAAGAGTTTCATGGAGATTAAACTACACAATTCCCCCTGGGGTGTTAGCATGACAGAAGCCACTTTCAGTGACAGCTTTCACAAAAGGGAGGTAGCTGTAGGCAGCCATCAACGATGAAATGTCTTGACAAAACAGGACAGATATGGGGATGCTATAATCCCCCCCTTTTTTTTTTTTTTTTTAGAAAAGTGGGTATTATTGGATATTTAAACAAATATTAGCTCAGTTAAATGTCAGCCTTTTTTATTATCTAACCTATTTGTTTTGGATTTATGAACCACAAACCAAGAGCAGGTGGAGGTTCTGGTTTATTTCTCCTGGAACAGAATTATATAATGGGAAGGCATGTGTGTAGTCCTTCTCATGGACTACTCAATTGGAGGATCTGTAAGGTCAAGTTAAGTCGTGTTCTTTGTTCATGGTAACATAGCAAACTAGTTGGAGACCTTTCTTGCAGTCAAACTGTCGTGGGCCTACAAAATGGAAAATTGCAACAAGCCTTGGGGTCCTTCTTTTTCAGTCAAAACCAAGGAATCAGCTTTATCCAGGGTATACTATGTGTAAGATGGGAATCCTTAGAATTGAATCTGAGTTGACTGTGTTAGGTATTTTCTTTAAAGAAAAATAAATGACTTTCTTGAATGAAAGGACAGTGGAGAATTCTGGTCACTGCTGATCTTCCCCAAGTAATTACATCCACAGCTTCATCCCAGGCCCTAGGCAGACCCTACACTCCTGCTCCCATCGTGGAAGTTAAAGGAAACTGAAGGCTTTGTGATTTGTTTTATATGCAACAATCAGCAAATGGAACAGAGGCACATATGAAAAAAATATATATGTATTTCTTGCTTGGAAATGGTAAAAAATGGGCATAGCCTGTAAAGGGGAATTAATGTCTTCTCTCTTCAGAAAAATTCTGTGCATTCCTCTTAATCAATACAATTAATGTAGCTTTTTATCTAAAGTTGGCTTTTTTTTTTAAAGCTGTCTTTCACTTGGAATCCAAAATCAAAAGGGTCCCCAATTAAGAAAACATTTTCTGTTGTGCTGAATTCATGTTACCGTACTGTGAGCTCTGACATTTTGTTTCTGTGGTAACCAAAATCAGCTGATTAGTTGGCATGGCAACAGAAAAGATGTAATCCCAGCAGACACACTCTAATCAATGCCCCCAGCACAGATGGTCTCCGGAGGATCAACAAGAAAGAGGCTGGCAGGCATTCAGCCGATCACGTGCTAGCTTGAGACTAGGCCAGGAACAAGAGAACTAAAAATGAACATTTCTCAAACTAACTGGTAGCTTTTTAACCCTTTTCTTTCTCTGACTAATTGTAAAGCAATATTGACCATGTAAGTAGCTGTGTAATCCAATGATTTTCCTATACCTTTTATGAAATCAAGTGTGCTTTTTAGGTGGGAATGTTTAATTTTCTTAGTTTTTATGCTCAGAACAGCAAGCATGGAATGGTGCTTTTAGATTAACAGTAGTGTAAAGCTCATTGTATTTTACTTAGAGATGCTTCTTATGTAAATGCATGCATATATAAATAAGAGCAATCTGATCATTGATGTGATAATTTGATCAGTGGCAGGAGAACAGTTGAAATCCTGAAGCATAATGTTGTATACATGCTAAGATAAAATGAGTTTTCATATAGGAAAACTGGTTGGTGCACTTCTGTGGTACTTTTCTACAGTAGTAAATAATTTCATAATAAATAATTGAGAATAGAGAAAATATAAACCTATGTTTTGGAGATGATAAGGGTGTCCAGTAATGGCTGTAACTATTGTTCCAGTTTGTAAAACCTAGAAATAAGCCCAAGAATGTACCCTAGAGAGTGTTTCTCTCAGCTTCTGCCAATGTTCCTGTCTTCAAATATAAATATAACTTGAGGGTCTTTGATTCTGAAAACCTTGATGCCTGCTCTTCTGATTACTAAGCCTTGTGTTCTACTTGATTCAAAAACTGAAAACGCAAAAGAAAGGCTTATCATGTGTGCTTTAAAATTCTAATTCTAATTACATATTTATCCATAATCTATAGTGTTCCTGGTATCAGCAAATTGCAAAATGCTCACTATACTCCTGAGGACTATTTAATATTTCAGTTGATTAGGACTGCGGCTGATTTTTGATTCACCAGTTGACCAAATTTTCATAAAAGTAACTCAGAACCACTGGGTCAAATGCTATTTGGGGAATGAAAGTTTATTGAAAGTCTAAATTAGAACAACACAATACTGCCTTCGCATAATACGCTAAGTAATGCCATGTACTAATAGCAGGTCCCCGTTTAAAAATAAGCATTGGCTTCCGAACACTTTATCTTTGTGATGCTGAAAGGGCATTAGCCCACTGTTTTATAGTAAGTAGTCATGGTATTTTATTACATGAAGATGAGTTACTTTTAATTAATATAAGAACAAAAGAAAAATTGGAAATATTCTTCCGGTAGTATAACAATCACCAAAGATTAAACAAAAAAGAAAGAAAGAAAAATGAATCCTTTCAAATTTCCTAAAAATAAATGTACATAATTAGCATCTGGACTAAGTCCACATAAACTAAGCTCCATTTCCCAGAAAATGATATTTTCCATCACAGTATGGAAATCTTCTTTCCAGGAGTTGGCAATTATACTGTCAATGGACTAGAATAAGACAAGTGGTCCCAGTAACTGATGTTTGGCCAAGGGAACTATGTTCAGGAGAATGCTCAGGTCTTCCTGGTGACTGCCTCAGACACCTGAACAAACCACTCAACCATCTGAGAAGGGAGCATTCCAGGATAGGAAAGAATGCAACACAGGAAAACCTTAGTTTCTTGATTTGAATGAAAATAGCATTTAGCAATCCATGGGAAGAATGGGATTTTTTTTTATCTACAAGTCCCGAATGTCCAGCACTAAACCTTCAGAGCAACTATGTTCATTTATGAGAAAGAAAGAAATTGAGTGCATTTATAAAAGGGCCACTAAAAAATGCATTTTTATTTTCAATGGTTATAGGATTTGGAAGTAGCTCTTTAATTATGGCAAAGCTCTTTATTTAATTATCATGGATTTTTTTTTTCTTAAAGCATAAGGAGTTGGTATGTTTTTCTTGAATTACCTAAAAGTGACATTAAGCCTAAAGAAAAAAAAAAAACAACAATAATGAAGCAGCAGAGAATAGCTTTCCCTGCAGTACTCAGACTTTGTAATTCTAGCAATGAGTGGCTTGTGTAACTATCTGATCTACAAGATTATGTAAATGTTCTGCAACTCCAGAATGAAGTGAGACATGGGCAGATTAAACTTTCATTCAGGTGATCATTCCTTCCCGTACAGCAAGTCTCTTGCCAGTGGACTTCTACATTCTGTGAAAAGATTTCTTTGTTTCCAAATCACAACTTTCCTCTCTGCCCAACTGTTAAAACAGGAAGAAAGAGAAAAACTCTATCCTTTGTCCTACATTTAAAATGTCTACTGACAAAAATCTAGATACCATAGAATCAATGGCATTTGATGATTTGTTTTTGCATTTTATAACCATTTCCTTTGCCTTTGGTTTTATACACCAGCATGGGTGCTAAAAAGATGAAACTGCAGCCAGATCAATCAATAAATAAGAAACATTTTATTCTTTTTTTCTTGCAGCAAAACTGCACAAGTAACAAACATATCTTCAGCTTTCTAAATTGGGCTTTTGAAATTAACCATGATAATTCAATTTCTCTTAACTATAAAGGGAAGGTTGTTATCTGTATTTTGAACTTAAAGAGATAGCTGCTATATTAATTTCACAAATTATTTTCACATAAAATGCAATGAACTAGTGTTTGTTAAAATAAACTTCAGTTTGCCAGATTCTATGACTAAATATTAATATTTGTCCTTGCTAATTTTTCCACCTGCCAGAAGACATAAAGATCATCTATAGTGTTCCAGAAAGGTATTGGTGAGACGGACGGAATATGGCATACGTGAGTCTTCTGTGTATGACAAGGATCAGATGCGTAAAACGTATAGAAGGGGAGGTTGAATCTCTATCTCTTTTATTTTTTATTCCATAGCCTTCTGAGGGCCATGAACGCTGCCTCAAACATTGTGATGCCTGATCCTGACACCTGTCTTCCCTTTGTTTTTCTCATTCAGTCTTTTGCAACCAATTTATGGCTCATCCATACTTTTTTGCTAAGCTACTTGTTTGATGCACCGACCAATCACACAACTTCTTAGAATTTGGGGAAACAACCTTTAAATTCTTAATTCCCTAATTTCATTGATATTTTTATGTTCTTCTGTTCCTTACAGATTACATCTGGATTGTGATTAGTGAACTTCCCCTTATTTGTTCAAGTTTGAATTTAGCTCTAAAAATTTTTTTTAGTACAAAGCACAAATACAATATTGACCATGCAACAACAGCCACATGTTCTTTCAGCTCTAGGAGACCCTCTGTCTACAAAAAAAAAATTCCAATCTAGCAACTGAAATGTAAAAGCCAGCAGAATCTCCCTGCCCAGTTACTTTTGAGGTTCTCTCATTTCTGATTTCCATGTGCTCAGAATCACACACACACATCTTTGAACGATGTTCACCCAAAGCATCGTGACATGTCACAAACAGAAAAGAAATTTCTCGTGGTGTGAAAAGTGTCTGAGAGATGAGCAATCAGCTCAACGTTCCAGAAGAAAACAGCAATTATTATATCCTTTAATTCGCTGGGAGTAGGGAAAGGCGGGCGTGTGGTGGCACCTGTCCTGTACCTTGGTGAACATGGGCTTCCCGTGCTGAGTGACCATCGTGCACTGGTCGCAGTCCACCGTGATGGACGAGTTGTGGTACGACTCTTTCGAGTGTTTGAGAATGTAGTACAGGTCGGTGACCCCGCCTTCGAACACAGTGCTAAAGTAACGGGGGATGAGAGTCCTGCCGATAGCTGGGAGACAAACACAGAGAAACAAACAATTAGCAAAAATATCCGACTGGCCCGACACATGCCACAGCATGGCCGAACCTCCTCCAATTGTACATGGGTCACACAAGAAACCACACCAAGAGGGAAATGTCTCTCCATGACCCTTCTGGCTTGCAGTTAATCAAATAGAATTCCCAACTATTCAGGAAAAATGTGTACAGTCATCTCTCCAGATTTTGTGTCCACTGCAAGTCAATAAAATAAGAGTTAGTACTTTAAAAATAATGGGGGGGGGAAATAATTAACTACTTTCGACCTTATACACACTTTCCAAGAGAATATATTCTCAAAAAATAAGACGGTTCCAACCTACTCGGGTTTTTCAATGTCTTGTTTACAGTCCAGTTACCTAATCATGCTTTAGTTTTATTAGTAGTACTAATCATCTAAATTTTAATAACATGAAGCTTTGGGAAGTATTTTGGCATTCTCTTATTGGATCTTCGGAACAACCGAAAGAGAGAACAGGACTGAGACTCAGAAACGTTATCATAAAAAAAAAAAAAAAAAAAAAAAAAAGGTTATTAGGAATGTTTCAAAGTCACATGACTTGTAAGTAGCTATTTGGGGTCTCTAACTCCATATCTGCAAACACCAAAACATCTGCTTTTTACAACACTGTGTCTCAAACTGCTGTAAAGAATGGAAATCTTTAAAAAGTAATCCACATCTCCATATACAAAGAGATCCATAGCCATGTAAATGCTGATTATTCTATCTGCTTTTGAAGCTGTATAAGATATCTCTCTAGAATAAAAGGCCCATTTTAAGATAACTTGATGCCTTCCACTTGGCCTAAATTGGTCTCTTTCATTCCAAGTGTTTGGTCCTGCCCCATTTTAGTTTCAGCGATTGTGTAAGTAGCTGGACCTTTCTGATATATGACTCTTAGAAACCTGTAACAAGCTCTTTTTTCAGTAGTGATTTCAAATCCTCTTAGACTGGAAATCCCAACTCATAATATCAGGAATTTTGCCTATGTGCAGATTTTAAGGCAAAGTTCTAAAGCACTCCCAAGCCACCCAAGGGTTTTAATAAATCTCTTACATTCACTATATAATACCCTTTGAAAGACAAAAGCAATATTTAAGGTAAATAAACTACCAAAGAGAGCTTTGGCTAGCAAAGATCACCCAATCGTCACTTGAATGTTTTAAAATATTTAATTTCATTTTAAAAGAATCAGTGTTAATCCATTTTGTATGGATCTATATCTCTTTTGTACATGGACTTGGAAAAACTATTAATATAAGGAGAATACTCTGCCAAACTGTTTCTTGAAGTGATTTTAAAGAACCCCATATGGATGAGTAGTCTCTAAATAATTTATAGAGTTGTTATTGCTTTATGTTTGCTGCAGGTAAAATCAATCAATAAGCATGTGTGCGAAATATTACAGAATCATCTATGATTCCATCCTGAATAATCCTTCTACATACATTTCCTAAGTAGTCTAATCCCCAATACTGCATGTTCAGTCTCCGAATATAAAATTCAAATGAGAGTAATTTGAGTTCCCCATATCCTTAAACATATGCATAGCTAATATTATAAGGAAAACTTTGTAACTCTAAAACCCTTATTGTACTTCACTAAACAGATAAAATTAATTGAATGCATTACAAATATTCTAACTTAAAGCTAATTACCATAAATCAACCCAATTAATTTGACAATTTGGGATCTTCACTGTTGAGAATAAATATAAACCATAAAATGTAGATGTAGGGTGAAAATATTTCACAGTATTCAAGGAATTGCCACATTAAAAAGGTGATAGCAAATAACCACCACTGGATTAGTCACATTACACTTTATTCATCATAAATCCTGCACAATTTAATTCCTTTATAGCATTGTTTGCTACATATTATCATTTTCATTTATAATATAAGAAAAGTTTGAATGGGAAAATAAGTTTGAGATTTCTTACCTTCAAACCTAAGTTTTTAATTACCTCCCCAACTCCAGAAAAAATTTACAAACTATATAGTAAATATCCTTTAAGGGGAAACTCAGCTTTGCTTTATTGAATAATTTCTAGCTCTCTAGAAAATGGTTGCCATGGATACTGGAGGTTTGTTTTCAGCCCTGTTTCCTTTGTGGGACTGCCCTGCCATTTTCCCATGGTCTTGTTTGGACTATTAGTCACAAAGGTTCACTATCCACTTTGGTAATATAAACCCATGGTCTGGTGGCCCCTGTGAACCATAATGATGGCATTCATGCATGCCTTTGGGTATGAAGTCTCTTCTCCTTAAATCTGAGCTGGGCCCTGTGATCTGCTTTAATCAACAGAATGTGGCACACAAGTGACCTTGTGCCAGTTTTGGGCTACATTTCTTGAAAGCCTCCACTTTGTGCTAGGGGAGAAGTCAGTTACTATGTACAAAGTCCAACTACTTTAAGACTGTCGTACCATGAGAAGCCCAGCCTAGCCATGTGGAGAGGTCCCATAAAGGAGAACTGAGTCTTCCAGCCAACAAACCTAGCTGAGCTTCCAGCCATAGCCAACACTGACTTGCATGGGTGAAGCCATCCTAGAAGTTAATCCTTGAATTCCCATTGAATCACCTCCAGCTGATGTCACATGCAACCAAGATGCTTGTAAACATGTTTGTATTTTACACCAACAATTGTTGGGTTTTTTTCTTCTTTTTTAATGTAGCAATGATTAACTGCAGCACTCTTTCAACCTTACTGGCCACAAAGGCAGGCAAAACAGAATCCTTCCTCGAAGGAAAGTGGGCAGTTTTGCCAGTCTTGCAAATCATAGAAGTCTAGAAGCCTACATATAGAGGGCATGCAAAGCAGAAAGACCGAGAGTCTTAGTGGACTGATTTGGGTCCTCATCTCAGTTGGGAATAAAGCCAACTCCACCCCTTAGAGGGTCCTACTTATGTGAGATGTGCCCCTTCCTTCTTTTTTTCTTCTTAAGCTAGTTCGTGCTAGGTATCTGTCATTTGCAAGAGAAGAACATTGACTATGTATGTCCTATTCCAGCATGAGATGTGGTAGCAAACACTGAGAGAGAACACAGAGATGTGAGCGGACTGACAAACTGCAGGAGGTATCTGAGTCTGCCTTCGTGTGACACACCATGTGGGAAGCTGCAGGAGACAGAAAGGTGTCAGAGATTGCATTAGCTTCCTGTGGCTGTTGTAACAATTTACCAAAAACTTAGTGGCTTAAAACAACACACATTTATGATTTTATAGTTCTGATGACCAGACCTGGGTCTTGTGGAGCTAACATCACATTGTCAGCAGAACTGAGTTCCTTTCTGGGGGTTCTTGGGGAAAATCCATTTTCTTGCTTGGTTGGTTCAGTATCCAGGCTGTTCATGCCCCTTAGATGTGGCCCCTTCTCTATCTCCAAAACCCATAGGGGCAAGATGGGGCCTGGCAAGGCATTGCTTTCACTTCCTTTTCTGCCTCTCTTTTTTATATTTAGGGCCCTTGTGATTGCACTAGATCCATGCAAGCAATCTAGAATAATCTCACCCACCAAGATGCTTAACTTAATCAGATCTGCAAAGTCCCTTTTGCCTTGTAAGGTAACATTCACAGGCACCAGGAATTAGGGCATGGGCATCTTTAAGGGGCTGTTATTCTGTTTACCACAAAGATTATGTTTGCCAAGAGCTACTGCTCTGCGAGGGAGAGTAGTCAGAAATATAACAGACACACACATTGTGCACATACAAACACACACTATGTGTGAACACACATACACATGCACACATACACACAATGTGCAATATATACATTGTACCCAGTGAATGCAACAGCCAGCCAGGGCAAAACCCCTCTGTTGCTAGCTCATTTCTTCTATAAACATTCACCGAGGCTGGAGCAGGTGTAAAGCTCCATGGTAGGTGCTGAAAACACAGAGATGGATTTTGTCCCTGTCTTTCAAACTCCTTCCTATCAGGAGAGGTAACAAGTATCTAAGTATCTATAACACAATGTGATAGCTGATAATGTTAAAAAAAATAGATTTGTGATTTTGAACTCTTTATTGGTATCTTGTGAATCATGAATTCAATGTACAATTTTGTTATTTTTGAAACACTGAAAAGGTTAGCATTTTCCTTTAATGGAGTAAACGAGGCATCCTTAAACTATTACCTGCGGGTGTTTTTGCCCTTTGTTTTTTTTTTACTTCAAAATAAGATATGTGCAGTGTGCATAGGAATTTGTTCATAATTTTTTTAAAACTATAGTCCAGCCCTCCAATGGTCTGAGGGACAGTGAACTGGCCCCCTGTTTAAAAAGTTTGAGGACCCCTGATAAACCATGCAACTGCATTGCACAGTCTAATATAAATGACTTTAAATCGGTGAACATTTCAGATTTAGATCTGGTGGTCACCTAACTCATCAGCCACAACAGTTCCAAATCGATTTAGATTTTATATTGTTGCGTGCATATGTTAAACTTACACTTTACATTTATACTTGAATCCCTGGTATTAAAATAATTTAAATATTTGTATGGATAAATCTGTTAATACATTATGTGTCTATAAAAAGGATTGTATCTTTCAAATGTTGTTGGAGTGAAATTAAGTTTGTAGACTATTTTAAAGATGATTCCATTTTGTGAACACATTTAGATCCAAGATCCAAAAGTTAGGAGGTGTGGAGGGCCAGATAGCACAGGAAGATTGTCTGTGAAGTTAGGTGAGTAAAATATACTATGTATTATTTATCTATGTATTCATAAAAGAGAAAAGAAAATCACACATTAAATTATTCAGGAGCTGAAATGTGTATAAAGAATGTTTACATAATACCTCACACCTTGTAAGTAAATATGATTAGTCCAGAAATAGCTAAAATTTTATGCATAGCTAAATTTGGACACTGAGCCTGTGTTCAAGTTTCTTAGGAAGTTTTTTATTGATGTTCTGTTTTGTTCTCACCCATTCCACTCCCTAGAAGTTCTTGCTAAGGAAGT